CTAGCTAGTGTACGCAAATCAGAGACAATCTCTTTAAGCCTATTTAAATCATTGATTGCTTTAATCGTTAAGAAATAGGAAAAAAAATGTGGCAACCACATGGTAATCAGTTTAACAATCGTCGGTTCTTAGATTTTACGCTCTATAATCATGAGACACTAGTAATAGCTCAACACTAATGGACCCGAGAATGCCGGCCAGGTTCCATAACTTAATGAAAGCGCAATGGTCACATTTTAAACCCCCTACAGGTTGCAAAACATTCATACTTACTGGTTTACGAAAACTGTCTTACTTCTTCATGAAAGTAGCATTTCAACCAGTCAATTCAGAGGTCTTATATCAATGACTGAAAAAAGTATTGACTTAACATACTATGTTAATCAACACAATCTACACATGCAACATATAACAGGCCAACGTAGGTTGTGATTACACTTGCATCAGTTGAAGCCACCTCAATTCACAACAAACATGTAAAGAAATCGATAGAAAAAGAATGACATGAAGTAGATAAAGATCTGTGAGAGTAGAGGTGAAACACGAAAGTTAATAAGATCGGTCGAAAATTCAAAGATGACAACGAGTGAGTTAAACCGGCGCTATTGTGATCACTTTCCAACGATATAACAAAGAGTCGATAACCACTGACTTCCATCTTTCTGAGAACTCCAGTTGGTCAACCTGCCACTAAACCTCTATACACAACTCAGTTCAATATTCAGAGACTACACACCTATGATACAATTTGGTTCGCCGACTCTCGCCTCTCTTCCAACTTAATTCCACTTCAGCTAGTGTTTCGTGTAGAGACACGTCATCAACTTAATCCATGAAGGTTCACACCCCCACCTACAAACTTTCCTTCTTTTCCTACAAATGCATGCCTCACCTCAGTATTCTTCACACTACGAAGATACCCATAGTCACAGACCTTTATAGCCTCCTCATGTCTTCCACTTGAGAAATTCACGCCATACTGAATCTCACCATTTTGTCATTCCTCTTTTCTTTCTTCTCTTACTTTATATTTCTTTTGACTGAATTTTCTTATCTTCTTCCTTCACCTCACTGCCTTTCTACTTGATGAACTGACGTGAGATGTGGCAACTCGGACCGTTAGGCAGTAATGCCTGGTCCTATGTTGATATTGATTGATTGATTGCTCTACAACTTTATCCTATGCCTACACTAGCGAGTTCACAGAAAGCAGTCATTGGGCCTCCGGATACTCGTTAGGTGAATTTTGAAGATTCACTACTACGGCCAAGTGAATTCAACTTAAAAACCGTGCATACATTTATCAGAAACATTGCATGTATCCATGATCCACATTTAAGCTTCTGCAGGTGAAGTGTGTTACTTGATGTTAAAATCTCTAACGTGAAATCGACAGTGGGGCTTTAGGAGACTAGGAATGGCCTCAGGTCTTTGGCAATGGTCGCAGAGTATGAAATTGTAAGTGGCCTAATATTGTTATCAGGAAGTAGCAAAGGTTAGTTAGGTTTTGTATACCAATGGAAGTCTGTGGGCTGTTAAAACTTCCCGGTTCATCTCACTGTGGAAATTTTTCCTTCAAGTTGTCTTAAAGAGAAAATGGGTCGGTTTTGTATGACACTACAGCCCATGGGACACCCTCTTGAGGTTTATTAAACCTGACATTTTTAGGAGTTTTGGATTGAAATTCGTTTGTATTACCGCCGGTGATGGACGGCAGCTGGGCACGGAAGGGTATACCATTTTTAGAATCTACATTTTCTAATCCGGCGACCCAAATGAAAGGTAGTACCTTTCTGTGGCATCCTGTTAAGTCAGCAGTGCTATGTCCCCGTTGGACCCCCCAATTATAGCGTATCCATTTATTCTATACCGGCAACTGCTTTTTGTACTAAGACTTCCCATCAGACTCTTCTAATATGTGTAAACCTCAAGAAACAAACGTTCCTACCAGCACACCTTGTTAGTTCATTATAGTATACAAGCTATCTATCAGAAGTCCACTAAGAGTACTAGCTAGTGTACGCAAATCAGAGACAATCTCTTTAAGCCTATTTAAATCATTGATTGCTTTAATCGTTAAGAAATAGGAAAAAAAATGTGGCAACCACATGGTAATCAGTTTAACAATCGTCGGTTCTTAGATTTTACGCTCTATAATCATGAGACACTAGTAATAGCTCAACACTAATGGACCCGAGAATGCCGGCCAGGTTCCATAACTTAATGAAAGCGCAATGGTCACATTTTAAACCCCCTACAGGTTGCAAAACATTCATACTTACTGGTTTACGAAAACTGTCTTACTTCTTCATGAAAGTAGCATTTCAACCAGTCAATTCAGAGGTCTTATATCAATGACTGAAAAAAGTATTGACTTAACATACTATGTTAATCAACACAATCTACACATGCAACATATAACAGGCCAACGTAGGTTGTGATTACACTTGCATCAGTTGAAGCCACCTCAATTCACAACAAACATGTAAAGAAATCGATAGAAAAAGAATGACATGAAGTAGATAAAGATCTGTGAGAGTAGAGGTGAAACACGAAAGTTAATAAGATCGGTCGAAAATTCAAAGATGACAACGAGTGAGTTAAACCGGCGCTATTGTGATCACTTTCCAACGATATAACAAAGAGTCGATAACCACTGACTTCCATCTTTCTGAGAACTCCAGTTGGTCAACCTGCCACTAAACCTCTATACACAACTCAGTTCAATATTCAGAGACTACACACCTATGATACAATTTGGTTCGCCGACTCTCGCCTCTCTTCCAACTTAATTCCACTTCAGCTAGTGTTTCGTGTAGAGACACGTCATCAACTTAATCCATGAAGGTTCACACCCCCACCTACAAACTTTCCTTCTTTTCCTACAAATGCATGCCTCACCTCAGTATTCTTCACACTACGAAGATACCCATAGTCACAGACCTTTATAGCCTCCTCATGTCTTCCACTTGAGAAATTCATGTTTCACAGTTGTCTAATGGGATTGCTATGCAGTATACTTATCTCCTGACAAATAATCACTACTTAACCACTAGTGAGTGAAGTTCTAACGGAGCATTCGGTGTGTTGGAAGCGTATGCTAGAAATGTTAGGAACTTCAAAAAAGATGTTCAGAAAACCGTGATATTTTGTAGCACCATCGTCAAGTATGCCACGTGCATTAGTATTACACGCACATGAATGTCAACTCATGATTTCATACATGCAGAAACCTTACTGTACAAAGTTCTTAAACCAAAGGATTAAGTCTCCGAGAGATCAAAAGCAGTGGAAAAATACGTTCATCTTGAAACCTGTTTTGAAAACTTTGGTTTATTTGCCTAGAATGAATGCCTAAAGTGAAAGACGAACTTATCCCATGTAAATCAACAGACTTTGCAGAAACATAACACAAAGGAAAGCATGCCAACAAAAGCAAGACAAATGTAAGATATGGGAATAATGGCAAAGTTTGAACCGGCAGTTACTTGACTTCCCTACTTTACTTATAGCTAGATATATCTCTAAAGAGTGAAACAAATTATTTGAGGAAACCATACTCACAAATCTCAACACTTCAAATGAAATCACATCAAAACAAATAATTCTTAACACGAGTGAATACCAACTAATCAGATTACAATACTTATCATCGCGCTGTGCATAGCAGGAACGTCGCAAGCTACCATGGGTTGTGTGATTGGGATATTTATTGGCAAATATATGACAAGATTTAGAGAAATCAACCTAGGACCAGAAAAAGCTTATTAGCTTTAGTTGCTACAATTCATACCAGCAGAAAGTCGATGGGGAGAGCGGTAATAAATATGCAGGGCTTCAGAGATGATAAAGTGTATACATGTGCAGTTTTATGACCATTTCTTACTGATGTCACACAGTTTCCAAAAATTGATTCATTTCCCCTTTTTTGAACTTCAACCGGGGAGTTTCAACCTCCATACGGGGCTGAGACTAACATTCGGAGGCACATAGACAGTTTGGTCTGGACACTTTGAACCTTCCTGTAACCCAAATCATACATCATATTGCATCTAGAGATAGATAGTGGTTGGTTATGTGAAACAAATGCCTAAGTCAATTTTCATCGGTTTAAAAATTTCAAATGAAATTAACTTGAAATCAGAACACGTATACGGGATGATGAACAAAGAGAATTTACAAAACCCTAAATAGGATTAAAATATGACGAAACTTCAAAAAGAAACAGTAATAAAGTAGAAGAGTTCAGTTACGGATTAGTTGTTGAATTTCACATACTCGATTAATACACCCAGACAAATGTAGAATACATTAGTTTTTTTAATTATTAGCGATCCTGTATTAATAATATACGTATTAGTTGATGGAAAAAAAGTGATGTTCAATATAACTGGATGGTGACAGTAATAAAATAAGCCTAAATGAAAAATTGGCCCATACATTCATGCAGTACACTCACACATAACAATTAAAGCCATCAGAACCAGTTTCATCATAAAATGAACAGTATACAAGACATACACATTCCCCCTAAAACTGAAGAACTGGACATTAAGCTAACAGAATCTTCAAAACAATCAACTTCACATCAAAAAGGAATAATTAACATAGGTAAAATCAACAAACAATCGATTAGCTTAGAAGTTTTACAGAGCTGTAAGTACATGCAAATTTCCAGATCGAAATCAAACGGTTTGCACTACACAATCTCCCTGCACCTTTGAGAGCAAATATTGACCAATAAAAAAGCTAGAGATACATTTCGTGATAAGGCATATATATATATATATATATATATATATATATATATATATATATATATATATATATATATATATATATGCGAAAAGATGAATAAAACCTACGTAGAATGAAAAGCTCGCTGTTTTTCCAAACTGTATTTTAAAGATGACTGTCCACACAAGCTGATATCAACCGGTAAAAACATGATTTTGTAAGAAGGCTACTGAAAACCCACAAAATCAATTAGATAGAAAAAATTATAAGAAATAGTCCGGTGTACGTCTTGATACATGTGGTTCACCTCTACGTGGAGCGGGATCGAACTGCAAACTAAACAAGAAGTAATATTAGATAAGAGAAAAACAGTTTAGTCCGCTGGTCAAGGAATAGAAAAAAGCACAAAAAAAGAGGAGAAAAAATTTTCTTTTTAACAAACTACAGTAACTGGACAACCTAAGTGCTTTTGCAAGTAATAAGATACTCTGAATATTCCAACTAATCAGTCAACCTTATATGTATCGATGAACGTGGAGGTTTACTGAAGATGACTTGACTATCGAATCGAATTGCACTCACCAACCTTGTGCACATTCATGCAGTAGGCAATGAGCCAGACATATTGTGTAAGGGCTACCTGCTGCCCAGACCACGGAGCTGGGCTCAAAACCGTAACTCATTGGTTGAAAGTCAATTTCCTAGACCAATGAGTTACAACTCACCAGACTGTAACTGAAATTTGCTCGTAAAACTGACAGTATTAGTACTGCAATAAAATCATTGTAGACTTTAAAACACTGACTCATTGTTGTTTTCACTTTGTCATTATGTTTTTTCCAGTTGGTATTCATCATAGGTTGACATCAGTTGGAGAGACATTCGAAACCTGCAAGCACTGGACAGCTGTTTCATCCTGGTAGGGGACTCCTTGGCACCCATAACTCCTCCATGGATCGAACCAAGGACCTTCTGGATCCGTGGTCAACACGTTACCACTGAGCCACCGGTTCGGAATCCAACGGTTCATATTTCCAAATTATCACTTCAGTTGACAAATCAATAAATCCCCACAAACCCGCAAATTAAATTGATCTAGTGCTCATTGGTGACTAGCTTCGGACACGTGATTCCTGAAGTCGTGACCACTGGGGCAAACCTGGTGGCTGTGAAAACAAATACTCAATGGTGACACTAGGTGATGGTCACGCTATATCGTGAACTGACAGAATTTGGAAATAAGGACCAGTGGATTCCGAACCAGTGGCTCAATGGTAACATGCTGACCACCGAACTTGAAGGGCCTGGGTTCGGTCTCAGACAGGGTCACGAGTGCGCACTGCCTAGGAGCCCCATACTAGGACGAAACAGCTGTCCAGTGCTCCCAGGTTTTTAATGTTCCTCCAACTTATGCCAGTCTATGATGAATACCAACTTGGGAAATCACAGAATCCCCACATATCCCTAAATTCAATCGTCATTATGTTTTTGTTGACTGGACGCTAAAATTTTATCTAGTTATTATGTACTGAAAACATATAAAATATTTCTCATCCTTTAGAAATCACGAGTTCTCACACACCGCACTACACAAGCAGTTAAATAAACAACCTAAAGCTCACAACAGTAATGTGCTAAGTGAATCGTGTTTTAATACAATCTAAGTACATAAATGAAACATTATTCAGTTTCTTATCACTGCCTATTTGTCTTCAGGATAGTTGTTCAAGCAACAGTAAACAATAATACTTGAAGTAACTTTTGAAAGGACAACAGCAATAATGACGATATGGGATAAGAAAGGTGCATCAATACTAATCACGATCAAAACAACTTACAAATTGTATTTCAGATTATCATCAAGCTCCATCAAAGCTGCTTGATTACCACAACGGTAACAATAGTTTGGAGCACTGAAGATAGTGACAACATTTCGATCATGACACCAGTTAAAACCTTCCATAACTAGTTGATGTGCTCGACTAACCAGCGTCAAATTATTGCTATGATTGAACGTCTCCGAAATATCCTGTCCAAATGTATAACCTGCACCCCGTGGACTGATACCCCAACCACCTCGATCATCCGGATCAGACCAGAGCAAGTCACACATTGGACCCTGAAAAAAGATTTAATAAAACTCATAAATAGATATTTCGCTGAAGGTTTAAATTATCTTGAGAGTGGGTCATGCAAAGACGAGATTATTGGTAGTCGATCAATCAATATCAAAATGAGACGAGAAAAACCAAGTTGATCCAAACCAGTACATCGAGATACAATGCAAGAAGGTGAAAGTAAGGAAAGTGAAGTTAATGTGAATGAAAACAGTAAAAAAGGGTAAAATACGATTTAAAACAAATAACATGCAATATAGCGTTTGACGTGAAGATAAGGCGTGAACACATCTGCACTATAGTGACCAACAACTGAAATTCTTGCATTATCGGTTTCATTTATCACTTACTCTAACCTCCAGGTCTACATTTCCCCCGTTCCACACACACACACACACACCTGACTCACACAATGTTAGAGACTTCACATGTTGATCTCATGACTTAGCCCAGTTTGATTGATGATACAGACGTCATGCAAACAACAAAGATGTTGTCTTGAAAAACTGATAAATCTCGACATAAGTATATAAGTCTTCAAACTACTAGACTTGATCTCATTGTTAAAGCCATTTAACTCCTTGGTTCAATTCCAATCTCAAATTATTCACATTCTAGTGACTAATTTGTGCAGGCAACCCAACTATGCAAGGGTCATTTCTGGAGAGTTTACTGTTGACTGATTTCTAACATACTGAAATGCATAGCCTTCTGAATACTGTGGTGAAGTTTGAGAAAGTTTGGCATAACGTATTCATTTACCAAATGCAAGATGCTGCTTCGAAACTTCTCTACACAAACTAAAAGTTAATAAATATGGAATGAAGTGACAGAATACCTGAGTCATATAAACTACTTGGTGAAATGTATCATCATCAAGATCAACGTAGGACCAGACATTATTGAACAACGGTCCAAGTTGCCACATCTCATATAAGCACACCATGTAACGAAGCAATAAAATAAAGATGTAGAAGGAAGGAAAAATCGATCAAAGGAAGCAGAATGTAGTAAAAGAGAGGAAGGAAGAACGAGATGGTGAGATTAAGTATGGGGGTTAAGATGCGAATGTGTGTATGCATCTGCGCCAATGATATCGGTTCTCAGCCATATCGCTTAGTCTCCAACCACTGGTTTCTTTCGTCGAGCGAACCCCAACCAGCTAGTCTGGATTCCCCTACATGGCTCAAACGAACAGCCAAGGACTTCATGCAGTAATGCCGTGTTTCAGTCTGGCCGGCCCCAAGCATTTACCAGCCTCAACCAACAGCATTGTATCAGCTCTAATTAACTAATTGCTAATGAAAACTCAGACGCGACATGAAAGAGTTCTTTGAGATTTAACAAACGGTCACTATTTCTCGCGCCGAGATATTTGAATACCTGTCAGGAGATGAGTATACTGCATAGCAATCCCATTAGACAACTGTGAAACATGAATTTCTCAAGTGGAAGACATGAGGAGGCTATAAAGGTCTGTGACTATGGGTATCTTCGTAGTGTGAAGAATACTGAGGTGAGGCATGCATTTGTAGGAAAAGAAGGAAAGTTTGTAGGTGGGGGTGTGAACCTTCATGGATTAAGTTGATGACGTGTCTCTACACGAAACACTAGCTGAAGTGGAATTAAGTTGGAAGAGAGGCGAGAGTCGGCGAACCAAATTGTATCATAGGTGTGTAGTCTCTGAATATTGAACTGAGTTGTGTATAGAGGTTTAGTGGCAGGTTGACCAACTGGAGTTCTCAGAAAGATGGAAGTCAGTGGTTATCGACTCTTGGTTATATCTTTGGAAAGTGATCACAATAGCGCCGGTTTAATTCACTCGTTGTCATCTTTGAATTTTCGACCGATCTTATTAACTTTCGTGTTTCACCTCTACTCTCACAGATCTTTATCTACTTCATGTCATTCTTTTTCTATCGATTTCTTTACATGTTTGTTGTGAATTGAGGTGGCTTCAACTGAAGCAAGTGTAATCACAACCTACGTTGGCCTGTTAAATGTTGCATGTGTAGATTGTGTTAACATAGTATGTTAAGTCAATACTTTTTTCAGTCATTGATATAAGACCTCTGAATTGACTGGTTAAAATACTACTTTCATGAAGAAGTAAGACAGTTTTCGTAAACCAGTAGGTATGAATGTTTTGCAACCTGTAGGGGGTTAAAAATGTGACCATTGCGCTTTCACTAAGTTATGGAACCTGGCCGGCATTCTCGGGTCCATTAGTGTTGAGCTATTACTAGTGTCTCATGATTATAGAGCGTAAAATCTAAGAACCGACGATTGTTAAACTGATTACCATGTGGTTGCCACATTTTTTTTCCTATTTCTTAACGATTAAAGCAATCAATGATTTAAATAGGCTTAAAGAGATTGTCTCTGATTTGCGTACACTAGCTAGTACTCTTAGTGGACTTCTGATAGATAGCTTGTATACTATAATGAACTAACAAGGTGTGCTGGTAGGAACGTTTGTTTCTTGAGGTTTACACATATTAGAAGAGTCTGATGGGAAGTCTTAGTACAAAAAGCAGTTGCCGGTATAGAATAAATGGATACGCTATAATTGGGGGGTCCAACGGGGACATAGCACTGCTGACTTAACAGGATGCCACAGAAAGGTACTACCTTTCATTTGGGTCGCCGGATTAGAAAATGTAGATTCTAAAAATGGTATACCCTTCCGTGCCCAGCTGCCGTCCATCACCGGCGGTAATACAAACGAATTTCAATCCAAAACTCCTAAAAATGTCAGGTTTAATAAACCTCAAGAGGGTGTCCCATGGGCTGTAGTGTCATACAAAACCGACCCATTTTCTCTTTCAAACAACTTGAAGGAAAAATTTCAACAGTGAGATGAACTGGGAAGTTTTAACAGCCCACAGACTTCCATTGGTATACAAAACCTAACTAACCTTTGCGACTTCCTGATAACAATATTAGGCCACTTACAATTTCATACTCTGTGACCATTGCCAAAGACCTGAGGCCATTTCTAGTCTCCTAAAGCCCCACTGTCGATTTCACGTTAGAGATTTTAACATCAAGTAACACACTTCACCTGCAGAAGCTTAAATGTGGATCATGGATACATGCAATGTTTCTGATAAATGTATGCACGGTTTTTAAGTTGAATTCACTTGGCCGTAGTAGTGAATCTTCAAAATTCATCTAACGAGTATCCGGAGGCCCAATGACTGCTTTCTGTGAACTCGCTAGTGTAGGCATAGGATAGAGTTGTAGAGCAATCAATCAATCAATATCAACATAGGACCAGGCATTACTGCCGAGGTGAGGGGCTCATAATGTGGAGTCGTGGGATGAGAGTTAATTCTGTCGGGTTAGCCTCTTTTGCATGGAACACAACTGTTCGTGGTAACTACGATGACACCTACTCCGTTTACCTCTGAGTTGCTGTTGTTTCTGACTGTGATCTTATTCTAATCAGTTCCAACAACACTGAAGAAAGTGACTGGCTTTTATCAATCTCCGTACGTCTCAACTACTGAATATGACTTCATGGTTTCAAAACCTAGATATCCAAGATGCAGAAATAACGATCGTGACGAGTGTTTAGCTAGGGTTGCTTTTGTAGCATCACATGTAAGTGTAAGCTAAGTTATTTCTAGGTTAAGGAGATAATTCAATAGATATTATGAACCTTCACGGTGACGTACATAACAGTAGTCATCAGTAGAAGCGTAAATTAAAATGACGTCCGCAGTGTCACGTAGAAAACACAAGACAAATTCAGAAGGTAAAATGAAAAATAGAAGTATTTTTTTAACTGAGATACGGTGTGAATACATCTGAGCAACTGCGATTGATTGGGAGCCATAGAACTTAGAGTTTCTAATTATAAATGGCTTCGGTCAAGTCAAAAATATTTGTGTTGAAATGGCTGCCAAGTTATTCCAACCTGAAACTACTCTAGCTAACATACCAAAATGCGTACACATGCCTTAACTATATCAGTTGATGAAGATTCATAACCTCTTTTACCGAAGATGACGTCTAGCATGAAACATCGATCAAATTTGGTAGAAGCCTCGTGTGAGTGATGTAATGAAGGTGACTGTAGTCGGATACCTGAAGCAGTCGCCAACTTTTTACCTTTAACAGTCATTGACTATTACGGAGTGTAACCATAGATCGCCAACAGCTGAGTGGGATATTTGAATTTCACACCTTGGTCAGAAACTAGTACGACTGGTGGTCTTCAGGTGCCATGACGAATGTGCCTAGGACGCTACGTTGCTTTTCGACCACACCAGGAATTGAAGGCCTTTCGTTAATGCCCTGATCACCATCTTTTTCATTGAAAACACTTGATTCCACATGGAAGCCAGGATATGCATCATACAGTAACACTAAAGCAACACAGACTGGATACAGATAATGGCAATGATTCCACCCAACCTGGTACGTGTTTATGCATATGGCTAGAAGCTACATATATGCGAATGCTTGCGATACCTGGTTGTTCAGACCGAAGCAACTGAAGCAGCATTGGAATCTAGGAATCTGCTCGAACATCGAATGGTGAGATTGATTTGCGAAATCACCACCGAAATCTACCGTTATCTTGTGTGTATTTGCACGGTAGACAATGAGCCACACCTAATGTATGAAGGTTAACGACAGTACTTGGTTGCCCAAACGGTATGGGGAGTGGCCCGCGACCCACTAGTTGGAAGTCAATTCGCGAAACCAACGAGCCACAACTCCACCAAATCACCACCTGATAACCTTAGAGTAGCTGGAGTCTAGTTGGAATGTTTTAAAAACAATCCTGGTTGTCTGTTGTGGTTTTTCGACCTACGTGGTTGATTTTTGACTGACGGACCGTAAATCCGAACCTCACTACATTTACTGAGGTCTTGGCACCTCGTTTGTGTTGCAGAATAAACTACAGGCGACTATAATAAATTATATAAAACATGAAGTGAACATGCATATGATTCGTGTGCAAAGCTAGCGAATATTTTTAACTACCTTTTGAGTAAATGGTTCGCTACACAAGTAACCGATGTTTACGCTAAAAGAACTAACTCCGAGTAACTGGATTGCCAATGCACATGACAGTGAGGCGACTACTACTGGCATTTGTCATTCACACATTCGCCGACTGAGTGCATTATTGTTATTTGAAGCAACAGTAATTCGATTACCATGGGAATCCCAGTAAAATGAATGTAAGGGTCGAATATTTTCTTGTCGGAGGATTAAAAGCATGCACTGCAAACTATTTCAGATGACAATTGCGTCAGACGACTTCTGAGGGTTATGACATTTATCGATTGTATAAACTCGCTTTCCTGGATTACTCGAGAACAAGTACACCACTGAATAAGAATTCAATGGTCAAAATATTCGTTTTGACAAGTATTTCATACGAAAAGCATTCTGGTACTAGGTTGTAGATCGCACTTGTTACTACCCGGCTGGACAGGTTGTGGTAGGTGAAATGGTATTCGAGTTCATGACTCACTAATTAGAAACGGAGTACTTAAACTAACTGCCTGCATCTTTCGATTATGTAGACCACGCTTCATTAATAAAGAATACGCATATGTAGAATATGGTCTCTAAAAAATGGACTCTAGGCACTTACCTCATGAGGAACTTCTTGAATTCTGTCCAAGGCTCTTATGTGGTCAAGAGTATCGATCGATGGTGACAAACCACCATGCAGACAAAATATCTAGGAATATCAGATTGGAAACTATCTTACTGAGTTATCAACAAGAGCCGTGAGAGGAAGATAATCAAACAAATCAGTAAAGTACTTCCAGACATTAGCGTTGCCATATTTACGTAGGCACTCATCATAGAATCCGTAAACCTGGGTGATTTGACGACTTTCATGGTTTCCACGAAGAATAGTTATTCGATCTTTAAACCTGACCTGCAGGGATAATTTAAAATAAAACTTTAGAACCTTCAAAGCGACTAGTAAGGTGACAGTTTCGACGGAGTAGTACCCACGATCTACGTAATCACCCATGAATAAATAGTTGGTATTCGGAGATTTCCCTCCAATGCGAAATAATTCCATCATGTCGTGGAACTGCCCATGTACATCGCCACATACGGTGACTGGACTTCTGACATTCTGGACATTGGACTCTTTAGTCAGAATATCCTTAGCCTAAAAAATATACTCACTAAATAACCTAACTAACCTTCTCGCAGAGGGACTTGACTTGAGCTTCTGTCAACTGATTACATTCGTACAACTGCTCTATCCACTGATCCAACTCTTTAGCTTCTGTACGGAAATCACCTGTCATCATCGCTTAAGTAAGTAACTCAAGCGAGCCGCTGTCTAAGCCAGTTTCAAACAAGACCTATCCTACATCCAATAACAATTGCGACAGTAGAAGAAACTTGTAGCCTTTGAGCTGTCGCCTCTAAGTCTTGAGGCTAGGTTCTTTTTGTTCGGTTGTACTTCTTCGACGGTTGCAGAAGTCTTTGCGTTTTCCTGCTTATAGTTTTTGAGGTAGTGATTTTCTATTTGATATTCTACTTGCAAATTGTAGCTTCGTTTGTTTCGGGAGGTAAAAGAGCTAGGAACAAGATCAAATGACCTCTTGCAGTCCCTAGTTTTGCCAACATCTACAAGTAAATACTAGGTGATATTTAAAAAGTGCTTGAGATAGGGTGAATAGAGAATGATAAAAAAAGGAGTGAAAAGTACTTGTGGAAAGTTAAGTGATGCTGGTAATAAAGTAGAGAAGAGATGCATCTTGCTGAGGGTACTAAGGTTGGGGATTAAAGTGATGAGTGAGCGTATCTTCAGTTACTATAGACGAATGTTCGCGGTAAAGCCCTTGCGCCCACATACTCATCTAGTGGTCGTTTGAAGGAGTCGACTAATGAAGCTGTGGCTACTTTCTAAGGTAGAGCCTTCCATAAGGCATATACTATGCGTGAGAAGTTTGATCTTTCTGTCGTCTAAGCCTTATGGTCGGGTGTGCTAGTGGGATTCCAATGGGACTACCGGTTTCGGAAAGATAACGTGAGCTATTTGGGTGATCCACTCGGTGAATGATCTTGTAGGCTGCTATCAGTTCACCTCGTTTCCCTCGATAGCTTGACGCGGACAAGCTAGGTTTCTGAAGCGTTGTAAATATGTTTTGCCCTTCAGTCTGACAACCGACCTTGTAACCCATCTCTGTATCTTCTCGAGAGTATTCAATGAGTAACATTTCTGGGGTTAGCGCTCCAATCTGCCTTGTCAGAAAGTGCGTGATGGCGTTCGTCTTTGCTACTGTTCCCCTTGCAGTCGGCAATAGTATTCAGTGTGTCAGAAGGGTTTGGTCCTAGTTTCTTCTCCGTCAATACCTTGATGGCTGCACACTTTCCGAGGATGAAGTCGGTTCTCGTTGCTTCTGGCCTGCAAGGTTACATCGCCTTGCATTTCTCCAGGCCACAGCTTAAATCCTACGTAGTTGACCAGAACTGTAGCTGCAAGAGGTCGTCTTTAATTATCCTAGGATACTCTTCCTAAGCCAATGCCCTCCATGTTCTGGTGTCATCGGCAAATGAGAGGACAGACACGGAGACTTTAATGGGAAGGTCATTTGCGAGAAGTGGAAACAGTTTGGCCCAGGGACAGCTCCTCGTGAAACTCCTGTCTTTGCGTTCTTCCGGGGCCGATCAAACTCTGTTTAATTTAGTAGAGAATTCTCTGTCTCCCAGATATGCTGTAAACCACGCTCTGAGTGGTTCAGTGAAACCCATTTTTGTTATTTTGTCGAGCAAGTTATAGTGCGGAACACTATCCAAGGCTTCAGCCAAGTCCTGGAGGATAACGTGGACTGGTTGTTTGTTGTCGCGTATAGTGGTCCAGTCGTCCCAAGCGGGTCTTGAGTTTGCAGCAGATGACAGTCCGGTTCTGAAGCCATGCTAGGTGAGACAAACGTTCTTGTTTCCGTTTAAGTGGTCCTAAACAAAGCTTGCAACCATGCTTTACAGTATCTTGTGTAGCACGAGAACTGACGCTTTTTGTCTGTAGTTGGACAGGGGTTTTATCCGCCTGCTTTCTTGAAGACTAGGTTGTTGACTCACTTCCAACGAGTGCGTGAGCAGGTTGCGAATGGGTATCCTTAGCACTATGGCACAATCCTGTGGGACCATCGGTTTCATGTCGTCACAACCCGGAGATTTCCCCATTCTCAGTGTTAAAGTTTTGCAGGCAATTGGTTTGACGAAGTGTTTGCGTTCGTCAGCTTCGTATCACAGTCCCAGAACTTCGCTACATTACTGGGCGTTGGCAGCGGATGTAGCACTGTGTTGAGTTGCTCTTCAAATCGGCTGCTCAACAGTTCCGCTATCTCATTACTATTCAAGGGTTCCCCAGCCGGTCCGTTGCCAAGTTTAAACCTTTATTCGTCGGTTTTCGCTGTGGCGTAAACTGATACAAGCCTTTGGGATGGTAGCTTAGCCGTTTTGGCGGGTCACTCCGGTACACGTATCTGTCATCAACGCTTATGTTACGCACGTTGTTTGCCTTCTTGTGGCCTAGAAGGTATGACTCCTTCTATGATATACATCACCGATAACACGCTCTCTTTTTCTTCTGTATTTACCTTTGGGTTGCGCGAGCTACTCAAGACCGTTTGAGGGGCGGTCATCTGGTTAATTTTGAAAACACTGTCTTCGGTGGCGGTCCAGACGACTTCTCTGGTATGCTTCCAGTGTTCGCCTGTCAACAGTGGCCGAGTAGCCTGCAGGATATCACTGCTCGGTGACAACAGAAGGCTTCTGACTCATCTATTAGTGGCTTTCCCCTTGGTTGTCAGAAAAATCCCACCAAACCCCGGTCGTTTTTACCTAAGGGGAGTGGGCGAAGATGTTATCCACCAAAAGATCATCGCTTGTCAGAAATCAGTCAGGTGGTGACCCTATTCCATCTGGTCTCCATTTGGTGTCTTTTCCAACCTTTCCTACCAATCTTGTTTCCGTAGAAGTGTTTCGAAGTCTGCCTTCAAGGAATATATGTCCACATCTTACTTCATATCCCAGGTTGAGTCCCAGTGTGCTGAAGCCCCGAGTGAGTACTCCATGGTCACAGGGTGCCGGGGTAGATGCCGAAATTGCGGTGACCAATCGTGCCTTAGGCTCTGTAGTGCATACCGCTCCTATTAGGTGCTTGGTTTGGGTTGTGAAACAGCATTATAATGAGTCTGGTAATAAGCAAAACAGGCCATCAGTTACCTTCTTGACTAGTTGGTGGGTGAAAACATGCATGGCAAATCCTTCGACCTCTCTCGACAGCCTGTCCTTTTGGGGTAAGGTCAAGCTATGCCCATGATACCTGATGAGAGTCACGTCTTCGCTTTAAGAACTGTTTTCGCTAGGTGGCCACGGGTTCTTGAGAGATTATGGAATATTCGCGAGTTTTACAGGCATCAAAACCTTGACTTGAGTAACATATAAGAGACAAAAAATATTTGGGATGGTACCGAAGAATAAAAGTAGATGTAGTCAAAACAATTCAAAAGAGTTACAAGGCGCTCGGGTAGATCACAGATTAGTTTGCGAGTGTCCCAGAGTAGATTTGGTGTCAGGTGTAATGGCTGTGTTTCAAAGCACGAGCTCAGAAGCCCAGGTATCTCTGGACTACTCAGCACATCTTCGTTTAAGTCTCTTATGAGACGAACTTCTCAGCTGGTCGACTTCCTTTCCGATATGATAATAATATATTTAGAACAACCAATTATACGAACACATGACATTCTTACAGGCAGTATCTGAGTGTTATCTTTCTAAGTTAGGCCGAGAAAGTTTGGAAGGAGTAAATCATCACGCCATATACAGTCTTCCGGGGTAAGCAACTGTTTGTATGTTGCTGGCTGAAAATATTGGGTAAAGGCCATCCTGTGACACAGCAGTAGCGAAAACTGACAAGGGTAAAGTCACTCAGTGTGAAGAGTATCCTGGTGGCAGTGAGTCACATAATCGGTAAGACTACACTGCATATCAATGTCGAGTATAAATTAGGCTGAAAATATGTGAGCATTCAATAAATTCGTGCTGCCTGCACATGGCATGCGAAACTAGAGTTAGATACATGGATGGACGGGGGGAAATTCAGGACTAGAATAGTGTGGCGGCATGCAGAGTGTGGTGATTGTTTAGGTCCATGACGTTTCAAACAGAGTCGGTTGAATAAATTAAGCCAGAGGTGCGACTCTATTCGGCTGCCGTGGCCATATTGCGGTGGAGAGTATGTAGGGTTTCGTCATTAGGACGTTCAATAGGACTTCATGGTCGGTGGTTCATATGAGATCACTTCCGGTTAGCCTCTTTACTAAGTGGGTGGTTGTCAGGTGTCTAAGAGCCTGTGTGTTTGGGCACAAACAGCATTTATTACCAGCATACCTGGATACTGTTACGATTGCAGCAATAGGTTTTGTTTGGACACTCTGGTGATAACACGGTTCCTCAATTTGTACGAGAAGTCGACTGTTCTTGCTTCATGTTTACTGATGTGCATTGCTTAGCACCTTTCTAGGTTGAAGCTCAGTTCCTTTTGTGACGACTAGAGTTCAAGTTATTGCAGGTCATTTAGTTGTGCCGTACAATAGGCCTTTTTTTTTATTACTCTGAAAGTCCTAATGTCATCAGCGAAGAGGAGGATGGGTGAAAAGATTTTGTGTTTCGGATCACTGGCAAACAGGAGCAGCAGAAGCACTCCTGGGGTTGTCCCTGGGGCTACTGTTGAAGTCGATGATATCCACTCGTCGTACTCTATTTGCCTTGGGACAGAACTGCCTACCTTCTTGGCACTTCTTGAACTAAGTGAGTAGAGGTTCACTTATACTGGCCGATGTGATCTTGTGAAACAGGACCGTAGACAGAACACTGTCAGATGCTTTGGCTAGGTCGAGACAAACAACATGTACCGGTTTTCTGTTGTCCTATGTAAGTGTCCAGCCGTTCCAGGCGGTTAGCAAGCTGGTGGCACATGAACAACCACTCCGAAGGCCAAGCTAAGCAGTACGGATGGTGTTTTCCCTATTGAGGACTTCCCTGATAGCGTCAGCCACCAGACTTTCTGACACTTTTGACAGTGTAAGAAGAGCAATCGGTCTGTAGTCGCCAGGTCATTTCCTGTTCCCTCCCCTAAAGATGGGTGACAAGACGGCGCACTTCCATTCTTGCGTAAGTTTGCGTGGCTCTATTGAGTGCTTGAAGGGGTTGCAGATTGGTTTTGCAAACAACCCAGTGCGGATTTTAGGACTATCAGTTTTAGATTATCGCAGCCAGGGGACTTGCCTGGGCATGG